TTTGTTGCTTCTCATCTAGATGGCCACTTGTTTACCTTCAAGCCTTTAAGATCCCAGATGCTATGTCTTTTGATAGCCGGGCACCATATTTATGAAGCCACAATCTCTTTCTTCTAACTATTCTGCTTTAGGCCCAAGCTGTAATTTCAGTTAGTTAAAAACCCTGTTTCACACATTAATTGCTACCAAGTCTGGCATTCCCTGTCTTGAATTTGTGTGGGTTTTCTGTGCCTTGAAGTGTCAGATTTGCCCCTTATCCTCGGTTAAATGTCATCTTGTTAGATTTGACACAGTCTAGCCTGTCAAGACCCGTTTGTGTCTTGGTTTGGCCATCCATCTCATGTGCTCTCTCTTAGCTTGCTGTCACCTGCATGTTTGATAAATATGTACAGCTGTCGTCATCCAGGTCAGTGGTAAAATGATGAACAAGACAAACCCTGTTGGCAGCCATTGGATTCTTCTTTGTACTGCAATCCATTGAAATAGCTGTTTGTTCATGATGCCTAAGTGAGTTTAAATCTGCTTAATGTTCATAAAGCTGTAGGAAAAACTACCTAGGAGGCCTGATTAAAATACAAACACCCAACAGGCATTAAGGCCACATAATGACAGTGGCAGCTCTTTCTGAGTGGACTTAATGAATCTAGTTAGAATTTAACCTAGAATGGATGTCAAGTTTTTTCTAGTTTGTCTACCTTTCTCTTCTCTTTGAAAATCAAATCGGCTTTTGAGAATGATGAGGGCAATGAATGTACAAATGTGCTTTACACAATTGATGTATGTATGGCTTGTGATAAGAGTTGTATGAGCCCCTAATAAAATGATTAAAAAAAAAAGAAAATCAAATCAGCACAGGCCAACCTTTAGTCTCTCAGCAGCCCTCCTGTTTGCCAGAGTTCCTCAAATTACCAGCAGCAGAAGGGCAGTCTGACTTAGAAAATATCCTGGCATGTAGGGGAGTAATTTACCTGGGCCATGCCACAGTTAAGTTCTTTGTTATCCGCATCTCAGGTAGCTTGGGCTTCAATTTTATTCTTCTCATTCTGCATGTAATTGTGTTTGAGAGTTAAGACTGAAGCATATTAAGAATAGTCTTGCTTGCTCTCTGAGCTTATAATATAATGCCTTAGCCACTCAAATAATGAGCATATCCCTCTTTTTGATGCTTTATGCCTTGAATATAACTGAAGGTTTAAGACCTTTTTTTAAAAAGTAATTTTGCTAACTGTAGTTCACTTATATGATCCAATAGTTCCATCATATTAAGAGTGTGCCGTCATCAAGAGTCCTGGTGGCATAGTATGTACATGTTGGGGTGGTATCCTCAAGGTCAGAAGTTTGAAAGAACCAGCTGCTCTGAGGGAGAAAGGCAGGGTGTTCTGCACCCATTGGGAGTTACAGTCTTCCCAAAGGACCAGTAATGAGAATAGCAATACCAAGAGGGTAAGGGGAATGTGGGGGGAAAGAGGGGAACTGATCACAATGATTGACATATAAACCCCTTCCAGGGGTTAAGACAACTGAACAGTAGGTGAAGGGAGATAGCAGTTGGTGTGAGACATGAAAAAATTTTTTCAATTTTCAAGGGTTCATGAGGGAGGGAAGATGGGGAGGGAGGGGAAAAATGAGTTGATACCAAGGGCTCAAGTAGGGAGAAAATTTTTGAAAATGATGATGGCAACATATTTACAAATGTGCTTGGCACAATGGATGTATGATGGGTTGTGATAAAAGCTGTAAGAGCCCCAAATAAAAATGATTTTTAAAAACAGTAAAAATTTAAAAAGAGTTACAATCTCTTTAAAAAAAAAAAAAGGTCTAGTCTCTGAAACTCACAGGGGCTGTTCTGCCCGCCCTGTGAGGTCCCTCCAAGTGAGCGTCCACTTGGTGGCAGGGAGCTTGGTGTTGGGGTGCAGTCAGCACCACAATCCATTTTTAAGATCATGTTTTATATTCTTGGTATTTTTCACTCGGCTCATTTTAGCAGGAGACTTTCTGATACTTTCCGGTCGGTTTTTATCATCCTCTGTTCTCCTTAGTGATATGTTCCTTGACAGTGTGTCCATTAAAAGTTGTTTTATGATTTCACATTCATTGCAGAAAAGTTAGGAAGTATGCAAAATAAGTGGAGAAAAAGGATTGTAATCCTCATCTTTCTCCTGCTGAGTGGCTGGTGGTTTTGAACTGCTCACCTTGTGGCTCACAGTCCAACATGCAATCTACTACACCACCAGGGCTAGGGTTGTAATCCTATACCAAATATCTTTGT